TAATAATAATAATAATAATAATAATAATAATAATAATAATAATAATAATAATAATAATAATAATAATAATAATAACAGTATAAATAATAAATCAAATAATTTAGAAATATAAGTAAGTAATAATAATAATAAAAGTTCTATTAAAATAAATATTAATTTGAATAAAAAAGAGATTAAAAAAGATGAAATATATTAATTCAAGAATAAATTAATATGAGAGAAAGATAATATTAATTTGATAATATTGAAAATAAAAATCTTCTTATTACTAAATTTAAAGATAATTTTGATTTAATAGGTAGAAGTATTTATTCTGCAAATAATGAAAATATTAAATGAACTTTGGAATTATTAGTTATAAGTAATTTAGAAATATCTTTATTTTTGAATATTAATTATATTTCTTCTAATATCAAATAAAGATTTTATTATAATTTGATTAATTAATATTTAGTAACTAGTAACTAATTACTTAATCTTTAAGAATAACTAGTAACTAGTAATTAAGTTACATAAATTATCATGATTACTAAAGATCACTATCTATTATTATCCATATTTAATATTTTATGTATTATATTCTATTATTTTTTATATTGATATATATCAATTTTTATTTGATTATATTATTACAAAATAGGTTGGAAAAGTTTAAATTAATTTTTTCTGTATCTGATAAGAAATATCAAAAAAAAATATCAAGTTTTAGTAGAATAAATATGAAGAATTACAAGCTTAATAATTAAGTAATTCTATGAATTAAGTAAAGTAATTTGTAAAATTATTTTATATAAAATATGATAAAACACTTCATCTAATATAGTATATTTTTAGATATGATCAATAATATATTTTTGAATAGATAAGATGAAGTAATCTGCAAATTTATTATATATAAAATATGGTAAAATACTTTATTTGATATAATATGTATTCAGATAAATATATATATAATGAAATAAAGTAATCTTTAATTTTTATTATATATAAAATATGAAAGAACATATTATTTTTTGATTATATATTTTTGGATATGTAATCAATAATATGTTTTTAAATATATAATTAATAGTACATTTTTAGATATGTAAGATAAAGTAATCTGTGATAATATATTATAAGAAAAATAGCAGAACATTTCACTTTTTGATGATATATTTTCAGTATATTTTCAGATTGATTAAGATGTAATAATCTGTATAATATATATATAAGAAAAATAGTAAAATACTATACTTTTTTCAGGATAGATATATACTTACTTTAATAATATATCTTTAAAGTGTATAAGTTCAGTAATATTATATAAGAAAAAATGAAGTTATATATCCAGTTAATAGTATATTTTCATGAGATATTTTTAATGTTAACTGGTATTAAAAATTCTAACAAATAAAATTGTCATACTTTAATATAATATGATTTAAATATAGCATTTCTAAATAATATTATGAGATATATATCATAACTAGGATGCAACTAGGATGGATTTTCTAGAGTTATCTATAAGTAAAGTAAATTGATAATATGATCCAATAGCATTTACATGATATACTTAGCATACATATTTGATAGCAATAATTAATAGCATAATCAGATATCATGTATATAGCATAATCAGATAGCATATATATGGCATATCCGATAGCAATTAGATAGCATTAATTGATAGCAATTATACAACGCATATTTGATAGCATATACTGCTAGTGTGTCCAGATAACATGTATATAGCATAACCAGATAGCATATATATAGCATGTTCAGATAACATCAGAAATCGGCCACGATTACCAAATCGGCATATAATAGTTGACATGACGACGACAAAAATTTGCTATGATCGTCATTCGAGTGACGTGAAAAATAGAAATCGTACGTCAAGTCACCTGTATATCCTGATGACTCTCGGATGACGAATCGCACGTCACCTGATGAGCAGACTATAAACATCTCATCTTTGACGAGGCAAACGCAAAACGCACGTCACTCGAATGACGAGGCAAATGCAAAACGCACGTCATTCTCGGGATAGTTATAATCCACACTAAGTGGTATTATTATAGTCTAATTAGACTATAATAATACCACTAATAATAAAACAGGATGTGCGATCCTATTTTGTTGATTTTAGGATTGCTGCAATGATTAATAGGGACATTTGGGTTGGAGGCGTTAATACTCAATTGTCAGAGGTGAAATTTTTAGATTTATCGAGGACTAACTACTAAGAAAGGATGTTTTCATTGATCAAGAACGAAAGTTAGAGATCGAAGAGTTAGGGGATCGAAGATGATTAGATATCGTCGTATCTTAACCATAAACTATGCCAACGCAGCATCGGGCAATGATCATGCAATAATTTTGGTTTAATATTTAGATAGATAGTATGCTTAATTGAATTAGAATTTTAACGAATAATTTTTTGCAAAATAGAGAATACATGTTCTCAAATAGGCAGGTTTACCCACTAGATTTATTCATATCAACAAGCGGAAGAAAAGAAACTAATAAGATTCCCTTAGTGAAGTGAGAATAGCACAAATTTTAAATCTGACCAGTTTCTGGTTCGAATTGTAGTTAAAGAAGTGTTTTCCGCGTCCTGCTTGGGTATAGGTCCTTTGGAATAGGACATCATAGGAGGGTGAAAATCCAATCTTTGATACGAGTCGGGTGTGATAAGTTACACTTTCAACGAGTCGAGTTGTTTGAGATTGCAGCTCAAAATGGGTGTAAATTCCATCTGAGGCTAAATAAGTGCAAGAGACCGATAGCAAACAAGTACCATGAGAAAAAGATGAAAAGAACTTTGAAAAGAGGTTAAAAAGAATGCGAAATCGTTGAGAGGAAAACAATTGAAGCCAGTCGTGCTGGCGGAAAATCAGCCTCCGGATTTCTGGAGGTTTCCTTTCTGCAAGGTAGATTAACGTCAGTTTCGTTCGTCGTAAAAGTTCGTTGGAAGGTGACTCCTTTTGGAGTTTATAGCCAGCGGTCAATGCGACGGACGAGGATTGAGAATTGCAGTGGGTGAAGTGCCTTGCGTTCGTCTTGATAACAACGTGCTAGTGTTGGGAGCGATTCGTGGTTACAGGGTTTAGTGTCACAGTAACTAAGGATGTCGACGTAATGGCTTTAAACGACCCCGGGGGATCTAACATATGTGCGAGTGTTTGGGTGGAGAGCCCATTCACGTAATAAAAGTAAACTTGGATGGGAGCCGCACCATCAACCGATCTGGATATTCTTTGAAAGATTCGATGAACCATGCCTGAATAGGGTGAAGTAAAAGGAATTCTGCTGGAAGTTCGAATCGATTTTGACGTGCAAATCGATCATCAAATTTTTGTATGAGTGAGTTTTTGGTAAACAGAACTGGTGTTGCGGAAAGAGCCGAGCGTGAGATTAAGGTGCCGGAATTCACATTCATTTAGACATTACAAAAGGTATTAGTTTATCTAGACAGCAGGGGGGATGGCCACGAAAATAGGAGTGTGTTACAACTCACCTTCCGAATGAACTAGCCCTGAAAAATTAATGGTATTCAAGCGTGATGCACTGTCATAGTAAAAGCGAAGCTATGACGAGTATGTAGAAGGTATGACGTAGGTCTTGCTGAAACAGTCTCTAGTGCAGATCCTGGTGATAGTAGTAAATATTCCAAAGAGGCTGAATCGGTCCGGTGCACTCTCAATGGTACTTAAAAATCAAAGAGAAAGTATAATTTTCGTGCTTGATCATATTCATAACTACAGCAAGTCTCCAAGGTGAATAGCCTCTAGTTGATAGAACAATGTAGGTAAGGGAAGTCAATGGATTGGATCCACAACTTTGGATAAAAGATTGGCCCTAAGGGTTGGGTACTAGGATCACTTCGGTGATTCGCTCACTGGAGCGCACCTAACGACCAACATAGAACTGATGCGGACAAGGGGAACTAAAGTGTTATTTTGTGATGGCCAGCAAATGGTATTAACACAGTGATTTCTGCCCAGTGCCTGAATATGAAAGTGAAGAAATTCAACCAAGCGCAGATAATTCATTTAATTAGTAACGCGCATGAATAGATTAAAGAGGTTCCCGCCAAGGGAATGGGCTTGGCAAATCAACGGGAAATGAGACCCTGTTGAGCTTGACTCTAGTTTAACATTGTGAAAAGAAATAGAGGTTTATAATAAGTGGAAGTGGCTTTGGTCACGCTGGCGAAATATCACTACCTTTATCATAGTTTTTTGCTTAATCAATATTGGCTGGGGAAGCACATCTGTTAAAAAGATAACGCAGGTATCCTAAGAGGAAAGAAAATCAAAACAAAAGGGTAAAAGTCCTCTTAATTCTGAATACAAATCATGAAAACATGGCCTATCGATTCTTTGTCATCGGAATTTGAAATTAGGAGGTGTCAGAAAAATTATAACAGGGATAACTTGTGGTAGCCAAGCATTCATAGCGACGTTGCTTTCTGATTATTCGATATCAGCTCTTCCTGTCATATTGTAGCGGCGTTTAGTAATCGTTGGATTGTTCACCCACCAACAGGGAACGTGAGCTGGATTTAGACCGTAATGAAGGAGTTAGTTTTACCCTCCTGATGTAGTGTTGTCGCAATAGTAATTCAACTTAGTACGAGAGGAACTGTTGATTCGGATAATTTGTATATACACTTGCACGACAGGGCACGGGCGTGAAGCTACCATCTGCTGGAAAATGGCTGAACGCCTCTAAGTTAGAATCCAAACTAGAAGTGACGATATGATGCCCTTCATTATTAGTCGAACAGATATAGAGATCTTTCGAGTTCCCACAAGTCATAGCGAATGGACAATGGAAGTGGCTGATGGCCTCATCCGGGTATTACAATTTCAATTATTGGGATGTTAAATCTCATGTATACGACTTGGAACGGATATTATAGAGTAGCTTTTTGCTACGACCTTTTGAGGTTCAGCCTACGTTTTAAGGTTTATTAATATGCGAAAAAGGGTGTGGGGTACTTGTTATTTAACCCAATTTATGTTTTCCGAGAACTAAGGTTTATCGAAATTATACGATAATTATTGGGGATGGAGCGCACGTTTTAGAACTGAAGAAGAATCATATTGATACATAATGCCAATTTTGCAAAATAATAACAAAAAAATATACACTCAACAACGTAATTAATGCATTTTTTTTATATAATATACAAAGCTAGTAAGTGCTATTTACTGTATAATTCAGGCATATATGATAATAATCGTGTAAAACTCCTCACCAATGCACGTAAATTTTGAGAGGTTGAGAGAGAATTGAAGTTGTATATAATTATTGATAAAAATAATAGAAAATCTACAAGTAACAGTATTAAAGGAGACAAACATATGTATAGATTATTAAGTAGGAGTTAGGAAGAGAAGAAAAAAAAATAAGAAAAAAAAAGAGGACGAAAAAATAAGATGATGAAAACTAATAACAATAATAATAATAATCACGGGAAAACTATATAATACTAAAAGAAACATAATTAACAAGAAAATTAAGAATAAAATAATTAATATTTATATAATTATAATTTAAACGTATGTATTGACGAGGAGAAATAGATAAAAAGTCAAAAAATACATAGATCAGCGTACTCGCCCGGCGGTACCGACCAAAATCCAAATAAATTCCCTTGTTAATATTTTCTAGATTGAACAAGCAGTATTGTGTAGGTGATGATAATAATAATAGTAGTAGTAGTAGTAGTAGGTGTAGTAGTGGTAAATAGAGAAAAAAGAAACAGACTTCCCAATGTTGATTTAAAATAAAACAACCCACCCAATAACATAAATAAAATAAAGATATTATACATCCCGCGCACTATTGGGGAAAGAGTAAATTATTATTATTATTAATAATATTAAGAAGAAAAATGACAATCTCTTGTTTGTCTTTTGTATGTAAAGTTGAAGTGTATGAGAATATGAGTATTGTAAGTGTATGTAAATGTGTGTGTATACACGTGTGTGTGAGTGAGTGAGTAAATTTGAGACTGTTCATTCGTAAATTGTGAAAGTTTTTTTTAACAAGACTGGAAAAAAGCCCAAATTGCTCGATTTCGCTCCAAACTTGGACTGAAAAAATTCTTAATTAAAATAAAAAAGTCTCATTTCCCACGAACTGCCTTCACATCTCAGGGTCCCAAAATATTAAAGATAGGTTCCATCTTTAACAATTCCCCCATACCGGTATGAAAGCAGACGTGATCGCTTTTCCGGCCCATAATAGTCGAATAACAAACATCACCAATTTTTTTCGTTTCCTAACCATCACCTATTGAACCTCAATGGAACAATCCAGAACCATAGTTACGTCATCTACTGTGGTCAGTTTTTCTAAGAATGGTATGAGATCTAATAGTTCAGTATCGTGTGGATCATTGAACCACGATGATATGGGCACAGCATTTGTAGGATGGAATATATAACTAGCAGGTGAGTTGTCAATTATAATCGTGTCTCTTAATTCTCTTCCGAGTTGTGATAGATCCTAAATAAATTGAATACTTAGCACTTCTATCGATAAATAATTGTTTATTCTTCACCTATTCAGCGTTCATCTCACCTTTACATAATTTCCTCTGTGATTGTAACATGATTCTCTAAATAATCGATGCTTTACTACACGACTTTGATCTAGCATATCCAGTACAGGATCGGCGTACTGTCCATGCATTATTGAAACGATACTTTAGTCACGTAATTGCTAGAAAACCAAAAATTTACAAACACGGACCTTTGATAAACTCGCGGTGAACACAACAATTTCATAAATTTCTCCCATCTTCCTCAAAAAATGATCAACGCCTGGACGTTTTATTACATAAACGTTATGAATTTGATTTTCAATTTCAACAGGCACGACAAAATCTGCATGAAGAATTTGCTGTCAAGTCAAATTAATGCAGCATATCAAGATAAAACATAGAATTGAGAAATAAATTAGTATGCAACATTATTCAATAAAAAAAAATCGGAATACAAAAAGATGAAAAACTTACTTTAAATGAGCTGTGTACCAATGTTTCGTCCAAGTCCAAAACCAAACATTTACGCCCTATATGTTCCGGACTTATTGGATCCAGCAGCCTCCTTCTTGGCTCAATTGTCTAAAATTAAATCTGGTGATTAGTTGAAGATTCACTCCAACCATATAAAAATTTATAATATTACTTCTATAGGTTCCTCGGGTGGATCAACAATAGGTGGGCTTGGCTCCTGAGGTATTTCTTGTTCTGGTTCTGGTATTTTTTCTTCGTCCTTCTCTAGTACAGGGGGAATAGTTGGCGATGTATGTCCTGAAGCACTTTTGCCAATGGTATCCGGAGGACTATTGGGTGTTGGTGCGATCACAGTCCCACTATCATCTATAGCGCTATTACTCCATGCACAACAGAAAAACAAGGAAAAAAATGATTTGTGCGGTCGCTGCGTGACTCTTGATGCTACTTCCGATTTTGGCTCCGATACTGTGGTTTGTCCTGGGTTAGGTGCCAAAGTTGTCGACGTATCATCACTCGTCGAGTTAATTGAGACATTTTTATGCTGGGCCGTATCTGTTATTATCGTAAACCCAATGAAAAATAATAAAACAGAACAATAAAAAATTTAAACGAAAGAATATTATCCAAAAGAAAAAAATCTTTTTTGACAAAAGAAAAAGCTAATACAAAAAAAATTATTGACATATTAAATAAATAAGATAAAAAAAAAACGAAACGAAACACTACATCTAGATCGCCCACAACAGAAATATCGGATAAATGGATAAGCGGCGTATTTTTTTAATATTCCTGTAGTCCTTCGCTTTCTCGAACCCTCCTTTTTTCGCACTCGTTCCCCTTCACCACCAAAAAAATATTTGACGTTCATCAAGGAACATTCACAAAAATATTATATAGAGAAGTTATGAATATAAATGAAGCATGATAATGAAATTCTTACCTTCTGTTTTGGAGGGCACCTTTGGTTTGTCTTCGGACATTTGTATTATTCCGCTCTGTTCACCTATTTCTGGACTAACCTGAGTGATAGGGGATGTTGTATGACTCATGTTGTCGTCGTCAAAGTCGTATTTTCTTTATTATCCAAAGTTTAGAATAATATATTATTTAAATATTATCAAGATGATTTTTTTATCATAGGCAAATTTGGAATATTTTATGGCGGTTGAAAGCGAACCAATATTAAAGGAACCAATTCCACGGTTGTGTTGGACGTTTTGAAATAAATAAATAAAAGAGGCGAAACCAAAGATTATAAAATATCAATAATAAATGAGACGCATAAACAAAATAGTAATAATGGGAAAACGGCAAATAATAAGAATAGTATGAGAGCTAACCAAAACGAGCAATTTATTTACAACCGTGAATTCGAAGAGTAGGGAGGAAGCTAGCCACAAGGTACCGTTACGAATGTAGGAACGAGAGGTTAAAGATGTGGAGGTGGGTGGTGTAAGGTAAGTTTTGAGGATAGAGCAACTATGAGGAAAAAGTAAGAGGCGAATATACGATGGACAACTCGACAAGTGTTGTTGCTTGATATTAATTATTTGGTAGTCGGTGGTGGTTTGTCAGGGTAAAAGATTGGAAGGGGGGGAGGAGTATTTCAAATTGACTGGTCAACAATACTATCGGGAACTTATCATAACCGAGATTTCGGCACGGAATTACGAACGGGAGATTGAGCTTTTTTTTAGTTTTGTTAAGAGGACTAAGGAGTGTGACAGTTGGGAAATTGCGAGCCCCTAAGTGAGTGTTTTATTAGATGTGAAAAAGAGATGACGAACAAACAGCCCAGTAGGAACGACGGGGCAAATAATATATTTATTTATATATAGTGAATGTGTTGTTTGTATATATATATATATATATAAATAAATATATTTATTTATTTATGATATGATATAAGATATTGATAACACACACCAGACAAAGTCAAAGTTTCTCTCACTCACTCGTTCACACTCGCTCGCTTTGCTCAAAGTAATAATAATAATCAAAATAACAAAAAACAACAGCAGTAGTAATAGTTGCAATAGTAGTAAGAAGAATAACAATAATAACAACATAACACAACAATAATATATATATATTTATATTTATATTTATATAGTTATATATATAAATATGTATATATATATATATAAAAGAGAAATAGTACGGAAAAAAATGAGCGATTGAGAGAAGTGACTTTGTAAAGAGGGTTTATGAAAGAGAAAATAATCAAAATACGCACCTTTTTTGTTATTATTGTAAGTCTTGACTGGCGGGAAGCAAGAGAGACAGCCGTGCAAGGAAGAAGTTTAGGCACTTTGATTTTTGCTTTAGTTTTGAAAGAGTTTGTAGGTGTGGGTCGCGCAAACAAAAATTGCAGGAGTTGCACAATACTTTACGGTGGTAAGAGTTACTTACCCTCAATGTGTGTGTATCGTCAGAGACTTCTAAATTTAGGAGTTTTGTGAGATGTCCCGGAACTAAAAGGTTTATCAGCGTTAGTTTTATATATTTAATTTAGGATTATAAATTGCCGTTTGATGTTAATAATTTTTCTATTTACTACGCTACGTGGCTAACCAAGTAAAATTAATTGACTGGTTGCAGGGAAATTATATGTGGGGCAAAAAACTTAATAACTTTTTACCTATTACCCAGTATTTCAATCTATGATTAGTAGTCTTTGGGAAGAAGATAATAAGAGAGGAGTGTACACAACATAAGATATTTTGATTATTGTTATTACTATTGTTACTACTATTATTCTTTTACTATTATTATTGTGTTTCCATATTTTGAATGGTAACGGAAATATCATTTAATTATTATCTTATTAGCATATTTGAGCACCTTTTAACATTGACCATTGATATGGGTATCAAAATATCAAGCATTTAAAACTGGGGAATGTATTTAAACTTCAACGGTGACAATTAAAATATGATACAAAATTTGAACATTGCTGCTTTGTTGTGTTTTAGCTAATTTAATCTGACACCATAATGAATGATTTATAATTTCTATCGCATAGGTAAATATCGATTTATTATTGTTATTATTATTATTATTATTATCATTATTATTATTATTATTATCATTATTCGAAATATGTTTTACAAAGCAAATGTGGTAGGCACAAAGATAAAATGAAATGTTTTTATAAAGCACACTGACACACAGACTGACACAGGATGTCACAGATATACGCTCGCATATGCATATATAGAAACACACACAGAGAGAGAATAAAAGTTTTTCATAAATTATCATTTTCTTTACTATAAATGGTCGTTGCACGTTGATTGATTGATTGATTGATTGATTGATTTAATTTGATATGATTGATTTCCAAATTAATATTCAGTTCGAATCGCATGATTAAAATGAAATATATTTAGTATAAAGATTAAATATACAATAAATGAAGATTAAATTAAATTTACATCAGAAGTAACAAAAACAGAAACAACGTTTGTCATTATCATCGTGTAAAATACCCCGCGTACAAATTAAGTACGAACATGAGGGATTTTAAAATCGAGACCATTCTTCATCAAACGCTTCAACAGTTCCGTTTTTCCAAACGCCACACTACAAGTTAACACCCCGGCAGGAATTTTTGTTTTTTCCAATAACAATGTGAAAGCACATTGCACAACAGATATAGGAGTGGTGACATATCCCGGTTCCGGACCTGCCACTTGAGTGACAATCTCTACATCAGGTTTAATATTTTTTAGTCGCGTTAGCAACACTGACGATGATGTTGATGATGACGCGGACGACGATGTAGAAGCTTTGCTGTGATTCTGGATTAGTGGTGTAGTTTCAATTGTCGTTGATGCTGTTTCTGCTTCTTCTCTCACGGTTTCTATTAATTCTTTAGAATATCCACGAGCATAAAATGATATCTCAAATTTTGTTTGTTGGATCTGCTCGAGCGTTGGTCCTTCCTGTGAGAAGAAACCTTTTAACAAATGTAGAAATATTAGTCAATTCAATATTCTTAATTTCAATCAAAAAAAATCACAATTAACATATTTTACCTAAAGAAAAGACTCTCGGAAATTTGAGGAGCAACCACCGACCCCATGAATAATGTGCCAGAAAACTCGCAACTTTATAACAGATCAATAACTCCAGTAAATACTTTAGTTTTGGAATAACCAAATATGCGGAAAATTGCACGGGCTGCACATCACTCTTATGTTCGATATCGAGCTGTTGACTAAGTCGAATAACTGCCGGATCCGCAAAAAAGAAAGGCGTCACGTAACCATTAACGCGTTTCTCCCATCTGCCATTTGGGATTTTTTTAAGTTCCGGTCCGATCTTTGGAACGCGTAGTCGAGTCACGGATGCTCGTAATTTACGTAAATCGTCAATATGTTGTATTGATAAGACTATCCGACAATGATATTAGATTAAAATCTTTACTCACAAACTAAGAAATTATTATGAATAATATTAACTTACCTGCTGACTCATAAGTTGCGTAATGCAAAGTAGTCCCAGAAGGCCCCGTAGTAAAATGATAAAACAATTCAACTGAGGAAGGAAGCGCGTTAATCCCTTCCATTTGCTGTTTAGTATAAAGCAAGCCATAATCTGCTGGCAACTAAACGAAGTCAGAAATTAAAAATTAGTAACCAAACGTGTGATCCAAAATTTCAAAAAATCAAGTTTTTCATCACAATAAAAATAGCAAATAAAACCACAAAAAATACACACATACACAGTCAAATCCACAAGCGGGAACAATGGTAACGTTACTCGTTTTCGCCAATTCATGATATTTTATCTGGATCTGTTCAATGAATTCCGTTTCCCCGGTAATATCCACATAGTCTGTGTGATTCTCCAGACATGCTTTCACAACCGGCTCACCGTACAACCTGAATGGACCCACACACGCAATCAAAACTTTAGCACGTTTCGCCATAACATCCAAAGTTTCTGGTCGTGTGACATCTGCAATGATCATTTCTGGTTGTCGTACAGAACTCGAGGACGTCGTGATACTGATAATGTTTGCCATCTTAAACAATTTTTTCTCTGATCGTCCGGCGATAGCCCACGTGAATTTTGGAGCATTAGGAAAGGAATTTTGATAGTATTGTGCCGCTCGATAAAACTCTTCGACTACTAGTTTACCAGTGAAACCTTTTTCAAAAACGAGAAGAAGTTCAATGAGTCTCTAGAACTTGAAGATTTGTATTGGAATGTTGTTTTTTTTTCTTTTTGCTCATAGGTTTTTACCTGTTGCCCCAAAAATTACAAAATCTAGATCTTTCTGTTGCTCCCCCATTTTATCATTTTTATCAGGTTATATAACTAGAGTGAAACAGCTATTTATTCTTTAACGTCGGTCTGGAAATACTGGAATTGGGAACCGAAAAAAAGAATCGTGAAGGTTGTAATCTTTGCCGAGATAAACTTTTAATTCTTGCCGTTATTTTAGATCTGCAAGACAATAATAAGATAAGGTTGTTTACGTGAGCCCCCTTACTGTATTTCTGGTATTTCTATTTATGTAACTACACCTGAAAAAAATCCTTACGCACGTGTCTGTTGTGGAATACAAATAGAATGCAACGTTGTCACACGCTTACAGCTGATTATCCGTGATACCAAAAAGTTATCATAATTGGATGTCTGCGGAATTAGAATTAAAATGCATAGGAAAAAGAATGTTTAAAAAAAATTCTTGCCCGCCCCAACTCCCCATTGTATGGTTGCCATGCATTTATCGATAAACTTAGTTTTAGTCGGCACTATAACTTTTATTTCTTAACTCCAGCCGGAATTAATTAATTAAAAAAAAACCAAGAACGATAATCATTGTCCAAAATATTTACAAATAAAAATCGATCATTCCAAAACGAGCAAAGAATAGAGAAAAGATCGAACTTAACACAAAGAAATAGGCGCAATAAATTGGATTGAAATGCATATGTATTAAAAATATATTTGGTGCATCAAATAACCGAAATAATTCACTGAGAAAAAAACGTGTGTTTGAATGTGTTTTGTTTAACATAACACCTAATATGAAGAATTCAAAAATCCATTTACACAAACACGAAGATCAAAAAAACACGCATCGAAATCCTTCCCCAAAATATAATTATAATAATTCAGAAAAAATAAAGTTAAAAAGATCCAAGATCCATGAAAGATAAACCAATTATATGTATGGTTTTAAACTTGTTATATTAAACGCATATGTTTTTGAAAATCTTCGAGTAAAAATTAATATAAAAATTAAAAAAAAATCGATAACATGTACAAGAGAAATCCGGCAACCAAATAAAAAATGCTAGGTTGAAATAATAAATATCTGTATGCGCATTTATGTGTATATAGATTTTAATTATATACAGATCACAAACAGATACACAAGAAATGCTTTAATATAGAAATATGTAAAAAAAATAAAAAAATGAAAATTTTGTACAATGAAAGAAAGAATAACATATTTGCATTTTGTGGTAACTAATATTAAATTTGGTATATGTATAAATAAAAAAAATGGTCGAAAGTAAATCAATCAGAAATAATTAAACTCTTTTCGATCAAAATCATATGCGTAAAGAAAGAGAGAGAAAAAAAGTTAACACTAATACAAAACCTAATTAATTAAAAAGAACAAAAAATCAAGCATCACTACTTCTTCCATACTTTGCCAATAGCTCTTCTCTTTTCTTCTCCCATCTTCGCCATTCACCGCCCGTACTCCCGTTTCCATGCGATCCTATCGAGAAATCCTCGACAGTTGTAGGTGGAGGGTTATGGTCATTTTCCCAAAGCATGGACGGGCCTCCATATCCGTACATATACTCGTCAGTATTTCGCCAATTTCGTCCGTACTGCATCGTACTGTTCGCAGTCCCGGTACTTAGAGTACGACCACGTCTTTCGAACGGTCGATTACGATTATAATTGTAAAATGATGCACGACGGAAATGATGCGTGGCTGCCGATTCCCCACCCAGTAAAGGGTTTCTTTCTTCGTCTGCGCCAACGTGATTGCTTCTTGTTGCAGCACAACAGCATCGATATAAACAACAACAGAGACATAACGATAAAAGAAGCAGAAGTATACCGACTAGTGCCGATGTTATTGATATAAGCGCTGTTTTATGAGTTACTATTTTTAATGATTAAATAAATTTATATTATTAATTTTTGATTAGATATGATTGGCATAATTAAGATTTAAAATTAATCATTATTTATATTGTGCAGAATTTTATTGATGCATGAATAACATAAAATAATCACTAGCAGAACTCACTAAAACACTGTCCAAATTGATATTCAAATCTATCTTCCTGACATATTGATGGATTTTTGAAAGGTCCATTCCAACCTCCTTGAACACATTTTTGATCCTAATTGATGTGTGACCATTCGTGCAGTCACACGAATTTAAAGAATTAATAATGAGAATTAATAGAAAAAATTGGGTAAACAATAAATGTTTAATTTTCTGCTTACTTTAACGCAAAACCCGCATTCTAAATGTACTGTACAAGTTCCGCAACTATCTCCGATTGCTGAACAGTCTATACTTGAAGCTACTGAAAATGACCAAATGTTGTCAATAAGTTGTATCGTCAAAGTTAAAACTAATAGTTCCCAAAGGTAGGAAAAGAAATGGAAATTTACATGTAACATTATCTCGGGCAAAACTTGGTTGTACGATACTCAATAATATAAAAGCTACTGTTGCCAAAGCTCTATTAAGAGAAACCTTCTTTATATAAGATCGCGTAGTCGTCGTTATTTTGTGATCTTTTGTTGTTGTATTCTTGGAAAAGAGTTGTGGCAAAGAGCGCATATTTTTTTTTGATTTTGATTTTTGGTTTTTTTACCTTTATACAAAAAAGATATAATATAACGGAATTTCCCCCGTTCGTATAACGGAAGAAAATATTGCACAGAAAAATGAAAGATAATTTGCAATGAAAATGTAAAGATACGAATGCACGAAACAGAATATAACTGTTGATGGTAAAGTTTAAAGAAAGAAAAGAGCGCAAGCACCCATCCGAAAGATGTCTCCTTAAAAAGATGTAAAAAATTAGAATAATGGTAATTTTTATTGGTGTTCGATGATAAGCCCGAATTTCGGGTTTAGATGTTTATTTATATATATTCTGTATTATAAGATATTTAATATCTATCAATGGATTAATTGTGACACCAGCGGGGGTTTGATGGGAACATCGTACAATGACATTTTCTCCGTGCTATCCAGAAGATTTACGCTACATAAATTTTATTTTATTCACCAACAGTATTCAACTTTTCTATCATTGTTAAATATCCAAAGTGTCTCCTTTTGTTTCTTGTTGGACTTTTTTGATTTGTTTATGACGACGAAAATAACGAAATCTGTTGTTGATCTCTCTTAGATTAACAAACAGTTCTCTCTTTGATTCGAACTTTTTTTTGAAATTTATTCTTGACCAGTTACGTATTATCTCCCTTTAAAACTATATGGTTATCATCGTCATCACACATTGATTGCTCACGTTTCTCCATTATCGTTATAGCAACACTCCGCAGTCACGCTGTATTACATATACAGAGCAAACGAGCGAACATAACGATAACATGCAAACAATCAATCATTACCGTAATGAGATGTTGAGAATCATACCCTATCTTGAAATTCATTTTTTCAAAGAAATGCTATCCATACATGTAAGTTCATTAACGTTAACTATTCTCATAACAGCAAAAAAAAAAGCCACTGTCAAATAAAAGATAGTGGGGAAGCATGAGCTACTGCGTCAATTTGGGAATACGCAATCTTGAAATCGAAGAAAAAAGAGATCTAATACAAAACAAACCTCACGTTTTTTAATTAAATTCTGTTTTGCTATTGATCAAATAGGGAGGAAATAAAACTTAACTTTACTAGTATCTTTTCTCAACGACGAAATCTTCCAAGTGGAGAAACGCCAACTCTTATCTGGCCATTCATTAGATACAGTATATCCCTCCGTAGACATATTAGTTTTAATGGCTTTTTTCCCGATTATACGAGTTGTTTTAACCCTGCATTGTTATTGTCATCATCAGTAATCAAAAATGATTAGATTTTAATGATAGGGAGCAATGATTAATTGGGTTAATCATTTAGTCCATCGATATATTTGTATATCGCGTGAGTAAAGAACTATCTTTGATTTTGAGGGGCTTCCTCATTAATTACTTGGTGTAATATAGATTTATTTAAAAAAAAATAAACACATGATCACGTTTATTTGAGGGATATTCGTGTTTTCCATTCTCTCACGAACGGAAAAAATCGTGTGTTGCATTATTTAGATTTTTTTTACATGATAGAAAAGTTGAATACTGTTGGTGAATAAAATAAAATTTATGTAGCGTAAATCTTCTGGATAGCACGGAGAAA